AAAAGAGGAGGAGGAGGAGGAGGAGGAAGAGGAGAAGGAGAGAAAAAGAGAATAGGAAAACGTTTGATGACGAAAAATTATTCCAATCTCCGTGACGTACACATAATATCACATGGGCGCTCACATGCGCTTGACATATTGCATCGAGAAAAGTGAAATTTTCACGATTGCATAAGAGACTGCTAATATAATACTAGCGTTCAACGCGACGTCATCGTGCAATGCGATCTAAGTGCGCGATGTAATGTCAATGATCAAGCGTAACAAGATAAGCGGTTTGCGCTTTATTCCAATCCAAGTTAATTGCGAATTGCGTAAACGCCTCCTCGAACTGGAGCGTTCATTAATGTTTAAACAAAGAAACTTGCACGTACATACATGCACACTTTGTCCGTCTGATAATTCGTTTTTTTTTTCCCCGAGCGATTAAATAAAAAAGAAAAAAAAACATAACGCCTACCATTATTACGTTCGCTCCCTTATATATTTATTATCTATATTATTCGTTATGCTATGTTCAATTAAAAAAAAAAACCTTAAGAAACCCGTGTAAATTTCTTCGTGCAAAGAATCACGTTGTAATGGTTGTATCAGTATACGATGTAACACTCTTACTGCCGTAAAGCGCTTACGTCAAATCACCTTTTACTCGCTCTCGCAAGTCTGTCGTGAGAATGTATACATATTCAGCGGGCAGATTATCGGGCTCGATATGTGATTTTCAGAAGCACATGCAAATATTGACGCAACAGGCAACCGAGGCAATTTATATTTACTCTGTTCAATCTATATTTACGATAATACCAGACACATTTAAACGGTACATATAGCATTTAAATCGCCGGAAGAACGAAGAGAATCATGAATTCATGTTCTAAAGACGGAATCGCGGAGTCGTTGAACATGTATTTAAATCACGAGTTCCTTTCCGGGGGGAATATTTGATCAGATTCCTGATCGATCAACCCCATCGGACGCGCCCCCCCGACGGGGGAGCGTCCTTCGAGTGCACCCTACCTTCCGCTATCCCGACAGCTTTCAAGCTTCGCGCCGCGGCATTCGCATCGCGGCAGGCCGCATCGCATCGGGCGGCCGCGACGCGCCCTTTATCCTCTCGCGCCGCCTGCACCGAGATGCATCCGAGATGAGCGTCGCGGCATGTGAACACGTGCCGCGGCAGGATTGCCCCGCCAGGTACGATCACGATGCTCGCGAGTGAGGAGGCATACGCACGCACGCACGCACGGACGGACGCACGGACGCACGGACGCACGCACGGACGCACGCACTTCGTTTCTTTTCTTTTCTTTTCTTTTCTTTTCTTTTTTTTACTTTTCTCTCTGCGCGCTTACGACTACAAACTACACCGTTGTTCTCCGCTCGCGTGTTACGCGGACTGCGAGATGGCTCGGCGCGACGCGAGCAGGCGCGCGCTCGCTTTCCGTGGACTGAGAGCGCTAAAGTTCGCGGCCGGTCTACGGCGGACTTTCCCTTTCTTTCGGCTCTTTGGAGACCGGCGCGGCGCCGGTGTAATACTCGCGGCCGCGTTAAAGTCGCCCGATTACTGCATACGTGCGGCGCTGAACGCCACACGCTGGGAGCGGAATCGAGCCGCGACGCACACGCACGCGTGTACGCGTCAACCCGATGGCATTGACGGGTTCCCCGTCTCGCCATCCGCGCGCCATCCCCGTTCCCCGTTTCCCTCGCTTCTTGCTCAACGCACGAACGCGCGAAACAAAGAACCTGCCAGTTGGCAGCGAACGGCCATGCAAAATGCATGGGATCGACACTACCTTGTGAACACAAAGGCTAATGTTCGATGCCTCCGAATGGGATTAACAAAACGCAAAATTTTATATTATATTTATTTGGATTATATCTTATTCGATTTTATTCTACCCTATACAGAAAATTAGTTATGCGACAAATTATCTTTCATATAGTGAAAAAAATATATTTTTCGTTACAATGAGAAAAGAAGTGCGCAGCGAAACGTAAAGATGATGTAAAAGTCTAAGAGTGAAATTTCTTTTCAGAATTTGTAATGCGGTCAAGGTTCTGTATGTCTTCAGATTTGGTGTCTCTGTCAAGAAATCTTACATCGAAATGTCATTCCCACAATTATTTCTAGTTAAATATTTATTTTTTTTTTTTTTATTGTATGCAGGCATACATAATATGAGTTGACAAAAATGTAATTCCTTTGTAATCATCGTTTACTGGCACAAGGGGGAATTCCTACGCGAAGCGGAAAAACCTTTGTTGTACGCACCTCGTAAATACGTAATCGAAAGATTCAATTATGTCCCTAATAATGCGTGACATCGTAAAGAAAAGATGACCGATGGAAAGTGCGTAAGGAAACGACACCCCGAGCGATTCAACAGGCGGTCCAAAGTCGGCGACTGACCGACTACGCGCGCGCGAGCGTGCGTCCATCGCTTTTGACGAGGGCGACGCGTCCGAGGTTCATCGCTCCCGCACAAAGAAGACCTTCGGACGATGCCTTCGTCCGCTTGACGCGCGTCCGATGATGCGCGTCGTAATTGGAGCAGCGCCCCGTCCACTCGATGGACCATCGTATCTATCGGCGTTTCCAAGCCATCGGAGATTCCGATAGCGCGCGTGTTCGGAATAAATTCTCACGGCGGCCGGTGCCATGTCTCCCAAATTCTCATACGTTATCGGCTTTAACATTAATGTCAATTTATTAACTTCATCAAATTACTGTACTGTACATTCGCATATAGTCATCGCACTTGGTCATCGGAATATATTCTTAAATCTAAGTTTAAACTGAATTTTGTAACAATGATTATCTCGCGTGATCCTCTCTCCTTTCTTTCTTCTTATAAGTAAAAATCTAAAAAAGGGCATGTTGTTAGAAAATAGAATATATGCTGCTTTTTCTCGATGTTGATTTCGTTTTCCTCACCGCATAAATATCATGAACAGTTGCCGTTGTAGAAGTCGCGTAGTCGCTGTCAACTTCCACTTGATGTGGTATTTAGTATCATAAATATCTAAATGATACTTTGAATTTTTCATAAGTGTTTACATTAATATTTAAATTTCTGCGGGTTTTTTCCGTGTGTAATATATTGCATTAATGCCAACGTTCTGTGAATATTGCAATTCACGTACTTTATCAAGACGAGGATCAAAGATTAAAAATCCCTATTTAGATTCGCAAAAATATATACTATATCTTTTTGATGCGGAAAAATATATTGTATATTGATAAGGATGAATAATCAGAATGTACTGGAACAATTTACTATTAATTTGCCTCCTTGCCCTAATACAATGAATCACTGTGTTTACCTGAGATAATTCATTTCAATGAAAATAATTATAAATATGAATTGAGTATATTTTTAACAGTCTCGTTGAAAGGTAAATATTCTGCTCAGGCTACTACTATCTGTCGATAAAATTACTTTATACTTTATCTACAGATGCTGAACTAATTGATTGTAAGCAAAGTAAAATCCTGTCATATTGACTCGGTTAACACCCAACAAGTTATTCTATGGCGGGAAATCTGCAAATTATAAAAAAAAAACGAAAATGTCAAGTGTAAAAATATCTTTTCATACGCAAGGCTATATTCATTATCCAAGAATTTTCACATATCATTTTACTTTTGTTTAACATCCGGTGAATAAAAAAGATAAGATATAAAGAATATACAGGATACTCGAATGATATTTCTGAACATAGTCCTGCATGCTGCAGCAACAAAATGTCAACAAACGTGCTCAAATTTTCTAGAACTGCTTCCGCTGTATTGGCTTACTCATGAAAAGAGATAATGATGACAAAATTTTGTAACCAATAATAGGAAACTGTTGCTAGCATTGCTGCATATGAAAAGATATTTTAATACTTGCGTCGTCTGTCATGATAAATAATAAGCTTATTGTTTAAAGATAACTTGATTGTGTTTAATGAGCCTTCTCTTGCGTTAATCATTTTCATGGTAACTTAGATCAAACTACTATTTGTTTTAATTTTCATTGTTATTATTTATTATTATATTTTTATTTGTGATGATATGTACGTATATGTATTTACTAATTTCTGACATATATTAATGAGAAATGATTTTATCGACATGTTGGCGAGATGATTGATGATGAGACATTTTATATATATTATAACTCGATTTTAGAAATGTAAATTAAATGTTAATCAAAAATGTCCCATAAGTTATTTCAATCATAAAGATATTACCTAGTTATCTGTACGTGATGACAGGTCGTTGTCTATCTATTCTTTCTTTTTTTGTAACGCAATCTGAATTTTCCCGGAAACATCGTATCGGGTGAAATGAAAAGAAACGCGAACATCCTTGTAAATATATTGCGTAGTATATTGTACGACTCAATGCGATATAACCTAGGTTAGATTTAATTGAACTGTTCGTGTTGTTACGCAAATATTATTCTCAATCGCAAGAAAATGATTAACATGAAGGAACTCAATCGGGTTTAACTAACCTAAACTAAACTATGTATGTGTAAAGGGACACGTAATCTTGAATAGTGATCGTCAAATAATTTCTCTTATGTTTTTAGAACGTACAATAGAAATTCAATCTCTGTAAGAAAAGAGAAAAATGAATATACTAAGTACGTAACTAGAAAAATAATGTGACTATTTTCACGACAGCTCTTTCTTAATTTGCCTATCAAGGAATTCAATGGCAAAAATCACACTTGAATTTTTAAGTTTAAATTAAAAAATAAATTGAATGATTGCGAAACTCAAGTTTGCATGTTCTCTTTTTGTCATAACGTGAAACTAAGTATTTTATCATTAATAGAAGTATTTGTTAATTCCATTACTAACTTTTATGTTTACTTTTACGTATTACGTTAACCCTTATATATTTAAGCAATATCTAATCTTTATCTCATCAGTAAACTTTCTCAAACATGTAATTTTAGTGTAGCAATTGTACTAAAATGTCTTAATTATCTTGTACATCATGTGTTTTTAGATTCTATAAATTATCTGAAACGATGCTATTAGTATAGTGAACTATAAAATTTTAAATATTTCAAAAATAACGTCAACAAGAATTAATAAATATAATTCTTGAAAATATAAAAATAGTAGAGTGTATTTCTCTAATTTCTCTAAAAATAATTAAATTTAACCTTTCTCTATAAATATAATCCTGGAAAGGAAGTAATAAATTTAATAGTTATTGTGATACAAGAGAGATCATTCCATCGTATTAGGATTGGGGCCCTGAAAAGGGCCAGTTTTGTGTCAGCAGTGTCAGAAAATTATTTTTTTGCTGCCTTTGCGGTCTTGGTAGCTGTTGCCTTAGTGGTTTTCGGTTTGGGCGTCTTTGTCTTTGCGGCTGGAGCTTTGGTGGCTTTCTTGGTCTTGGATAGATTTTTGGTCTGAGCAGCGGCTTTCTGCTTCGCCGCGGCTTCAACCTTCTTCGCTGCCGCTGTTTTGGCTGTCTTCTTGGCAGATGTAGATTTCTTTTCAGCCGCTGCCTTCTTAGTTTCGGTTGCCTTTTTCGTGGCGGGCGCTTTCTTTGCAACCTTCTTCTCGGTGGTCTTCTTAGTATCCGAACTCGGTTTCGGTGCGGTACGTTTTACCTTGTTCTTTGGAGCGGGCTTGTTAGTCGAGAGCTTGAAGGAGCCCGATGCACCCTTCCCCTTGGTCTGCACCACTGCACCGGAAGTAACCGCCGCCCTTAGGTATCTCTTGATGAAGGGAGCGAACTTCTCCCCGTCAACCTTGTACGTCGAGGCGATGTACTTTTTGATGGCCTGCACGGACGAGCCCTTGCGATCCTTCAGCTCCTTGATGGCAGATGTGACCATCTCCGAGGTCGGCGGATGCGTGGACTTCGGGCGCTGCGTTTTCGCTTTAGATTTCGCGGCCTTCTTCGCAGGCGGTGAACCGGCGGCTGCGTTTTCCGTAGCCGCGGCATTACCAGATGCGCTTTTATCCTCCATCACGGATAAAGAGAAAGAGAAAGAGAAGAGCGAATTGCGGACGTTCAAAGACGAAGTACAAATATAAACTTTCGTTCTAAACGCTCACAGATGACGCTGTTTAAAAGTAGCCGCGCTCGGCGCGCTCACTTGTAGGATACGCACGGACCATGGAGAGAGACCCTCCCAATGTTGCAGGTAGGATGCTATCGGGAATGAAAGAGCGCTCGGCAATTGTTCATTGTTTAAACAATATTTTGCACAATGAAGGCTATCGATTTGCGGCGCGGAATTGTAGAAGCAAGTAGCTAGTTTCGTTTGGTATGCATTTCGACGGGCCTCCGCGCGGCCGGCGTCGATTTTTACGCGGTTCCGTGCGGCCCGCGCCCTCGTTTCATTCGCGAGGCTCGATTCAATCCGAGAAATAAGTTAATAAACAATATAATTATTAATGCAACGCGCGCTTATGCGGCTCACGAAACGTCGTGATAGCCGTGCTAACCGACCGCACGCGTTTATCCCGAGCGACACGCCAGATTCGCCCTGAATATTCCAAGTTTCGCGGATGGCGGAATACAAGAGTCGGCGCAGCACAAAGTGAAATACCGATTACAAAGTACATTTGCAGACAATTTTATGGAATAGTGTAAAATGTCATTATCGACTGGAAGGAACATGGGTACGATTAGCTTACGATATTATATGCATAATCATGAAATTCGCTCCACGGATATCACATATACGCGCAGATACTTCCTATAAAACGCCGAATATCCTCTCGCGTGGTTAAAGCTTACTGTTATAACGGATCGCACGACAGGATAGTGAAATAACACGTAGAAACTGGAAACGATGAAAATTAGCATATTTGATATCAAATCGATCATGGTATGGTCACTTTTACCAAAATTCACAAATGTCGAGTGCAATTTGATTCTATAATTCCCCGCTGGGTTCGCGAATTGCGCAGCTCGGAAGACGTAAAAACCGAGCTGTAACCTAGTAATTTTCCGAGTCTATCAGTTGTACGATGATCAAATGACACGAATACTTGTGCATCGCTGAGCCGCAATCAATGATTGGATTTCCATTTCTGGAAATTCGTTAATTGATTTTTTACGTCGGATTTGTGTGTCAGAGTAATGTTTTGAAGGCTCGTATCTGCAGCGCGCCAATTAAGGCTCCTACGCGCGGTAGCATTAGTTAGATTAGAGTTCTCTAGAAAAAAAATGTAAAAATTGTTTACATGTATATTTTGTTATATTATATACTCTTTTTAATTTACTAATAAAAGATTAATTACCAAATACGAATAACACATACATAATTCTCTCTTAATGATATCTATATGTTGAGATTAATGAAATCATAGTCGTATGACAGATATTCGATCAAGTTAAAATACGCATTATTTATTTATAAACTGTTCAAATTTTATTGTGGAATTTAGATGGACAATTTGATTCTAAAGTTAAAAAAAATTAAGATCGCTAAATTAGGAACGCATATATTCCGAGAATGTTCAGAGATGTCGCAAAAGTAGACTCTTAGATATATCTCTTTATACATTCAAAATGTATAAATAATTATATTAAAAATTGTATTGTGCATATCTAATTTCTCATTTTTTTTTAATATGTATTAAAACTGTATTTCAATAAAAACTTCAATATAGGATATTTTTGGAATACACGGAATTAATTCTTACTATATTTTCGGAACGCTCTCAAAACCCACATATGCTAAAATATCTAATTCAATTTGCAAATATGATTTTTACGTAATCTTTATTGCACTCTTATCTACTTTACTGTTTTTCTACATTGTAGCGTTTTTACAATTTATCTTACGCAATATTATGAAAGTTTTTGCATTAATTAACATATTTTCCTAATATATGAATATATACATGTGTATAATTTTCTTTATCATTATTGCTAATCTTATAAAAAATATTAATTTTTTCTCCATAATTAAAGTAGAAATATTTTAAGATAGGAATTAAAAGCTACTAAGATCAACATAATAAACAATACATAATTTTTGAACAATTTAAATTCTTTAATAAATAATTACATCTTGCTACAGTTAGCATAAAGACATATTTATCAAACATATTTTAAAATATTTTTATAGAATGTTTTCATATAAAATATCCCAAGTTTGGATTTCGTGGTATTTGGATCATTGTTATGCCTACAAAATTTAAAATACATTTTAGATGTATCATATTTATTATATTTGAAAGCAAAAAGATAAAAGAAAAATATAGATGTAAAAATATAGATGTGTACACACACACACACACACACACACACACACACACACACACACACACACACACACACGCACACACACACACGCACACGCACACGCACACGCACACGCATATAATGCACATGCGTATACTTTACTAAATAACAATATCAAAAATAAAATAACATTAAAAGCTGTAGTTCATTGATTTCTCTTTTATAGGTTAGTCTGTACGTTAAAATAGCTTTATAATATCTCGACAATAATATTTAGTAGTATCATTAGCATGTAATATCAATCTCGTGATATGCTTTATATTCTGCATTTGATTATTATTTCAAAAGAACAATTTAGTCCGAATTACTTATGATCGCTTGAAAAATATGTATTTAAAATTATGTTTCTGCTAAACAATGATACACACATGCGCGCACGCACAATGCACTCATGCACACGTTAAAATTTTATTTTATTATATAAAAGCGTGTTGTAATAAGTTATTGTTGTTATTTAACCGGCATATATAACATGCATAAATTTATTGATGTATCTTAATTGAGACACAGATATATTATATCTTACAATTTTTAAAAGTTTACATATTTGACTTTGGTATCCAAAAAAAACTTTATCTATTAATATTTTAGTATTTTTCAATGATAAAAATATTTTTTGAGATAGCTCGCCGTGCATGCACGCACGCGCACGTGTGTGTGTGTGTGTGTGTGTGTGTGAGATGAAAAATATCTTATCGTTTATAATAGAAATCTTCACAAGGATATTATACTCATAGAATATAATGTTACATTCTACGAAAATTTTTAGAGAATATAATTTTGTGTATCGAAATATCGACAATCGCATATCAAAATCTATGTAAACCTAAGCGAGTATTTGCAAAAAATTGAATAAATAATTCTAATATTCATATCAAATATAAATTGTATATTACTTATGTAATATTATTGTAATGTTATATTTATAGCTGTGATTTCA